CTGGGCACGTGGTTAGCCTGAAAGGTGCCAGAAAGCCTGATGACGCCATCCCGCGGATCCCCAAGTTCCCTATAAAATGGGAGTCTGTTCCTGTTCCTGTGCCGGCGGTTCCTACTCCGGTCCCCGTAGTTCCTGCTCCGCCCCCTGCGGTTCCTGCTCCGGCTCCCATCCCTGAGGAGGTCCCTAATCCCCTGGACCCTGGTCCTGTGCCCCTGGCTCCCATGGCCCCAGTCCCTGTCCCCGAGGAGGTTCTGGACTATTAGACCACCGCTTCTCCCTCCTTAGTTGGAGTTGGAGGAGGAGCTTGAGTGGGACCCCTCGAGGATTTCCCTGATTGCCCCTCTGAACTCCTCCGGTGGGTCACCCCAGCCATCACCCCAGCGTGTCAAATCCTGGCCAGGACCTCATCACTTGGTGTCCCGAAGAGGGAGAGGACACCTGCGCAGGGGTCGGGTCCCACTCGCCCTGCCCCCTGGCTCTCCTTCGGTCCCCCTAGCTTTGGCTTAGCGGTCACCTGCGGGTCCTCTGGCTCCTGTTTGGCGGTTGCCCGCAACCCCCCCCCTGGCTCCGGCTCGGCGATCGCCTGCGGTACCTTGTTGGTCAGCTGTGGTTCCAGGTGTGGTCTCGACGTCTCATTGGTCGCCTGCGGGCCCCCCAGCTCCGACTTGTCGCTCGCCTGTGCCTTTGCCGGCTGTGGCTGCACCTTTGCCTGCCGTGGCTTCTGTTCCCTCCTCCACCAGTGTCCCCTTCACCTCCCTCCTCGCCTCCTCCTGCAGTCTCTCCACCTTCCTTCTCGCCCCCTTCAACGTCCCCTCCAGCTCTGCCCTCACAGTCGCCGAGGGTCCCTTCGGCTATGGCCTCACGGTTGCTGGCTACCCCTGCGGCTCACACCTTCTGCCTGCCGGGGTTCCCTCTGGCTGCTTAATTCCCCCCGCCCTGGTGTGGTGCCCCCTGGTTTTGTGCCCCCAGTGTTTGCTCCTCGTCCCTTTGTTTTACCTATGTTCACTCCTGGTCCCTTCATTCCTCCGGTTGGTGTTCCTCCTGTGTCTTCCTTTTTGGTGCCCCTGTGTCTGTCTGCATTCCCCGTGGTTTGTCAGTTGTTGCCCTTGTGCCTGTTCTGTGTGTTGGCTTTCCCTGTGCCCTATTAATGATCTTGCTTTTGTTTTCCAGGTGTGGTGTCCCTGGTCTCGTCCCTTCACTACCTTACCGTGCGCGCCTCTTAGTGCGGGGGTGGTTCTGCCACGACCCGATCGTGCCACTCCTCCTGTGTGCCACGCCCTTTTCTTAACCATGTGTGGAATCCCTACATTACCAGCTGTTTCTAGTCTTGTCTAATCAAGTTCCGGTATTTAAGTGCTTCCCTGTTAGTCTTTCCCCAGTCCTGTCATTGAAGTTTCGTGATGTTGCTCCCTGTTTTATCCCATGTGCCTCGCTGTACTCCTCATTAGCTGCCCCCTGCTATGTCACGAAAGTCACATATGGGTTAAATGCAGAGGACACATTTCGTTGTTGCGCACTGCGTGTGCTGTGGTGTGTTGACAATTACCACTGATCACCAAATTCAAATTCTAATTCTAATTCATTAAATCCCGCATTCACCCGATTTCCCGACTCCTGCTCCTGCTTCCCCGGTTCGTACCTTGACGTTCGTGACAGAAGTGAGATCACTAATAAAGGTGCGAAACCAGTTTAACTTCATTCTTCTTTGCAACAGAGGCAGTCTTTCCAGTTTTAGCAATAACATACTGTGACTATCAGGAACCCATCGATCCAGTCAAACGGCAAGTTCTGGCCAATTGCCATACATTAGGAATTTTTTAACACTTTTTCCCAAGAAAAGAAATCCTACAGGTTTTAAAGAATAAGTTGTAACGACTTCAGATACTGTCAGAATTACAGCTAAGTCTTCCCCAGACAGCACCACCCCCCAATCTAAGACTCCTTCCACAGTTCCATAGCTCCCAATTAAAGTAATGAGCAAAAACGACATATTTTTAAGTGCCTGGGTTTCTAGGGTTTTCTACTTTAACTATTGACGACGTTTAATTTAAAGTGTAGATTGGTAGGTCCCGTATAAACAAAACAATGCATAGAGACCATCATTATAAATTTGAGCAGAATTGTGAGAATATCACGCGACATACTGTAGTATGTAGTTTTTGGTATTTAATTATAAAGGCTGTGTGTATATATATATATAAGCTTAAGCTTGTTGTCGATTATAAAGGCTGTGTGTGTATATATATATATATATATATATATATATATATATATATATATATATATATATATATATATACTTAAGCTTGTTGTCGATTGCGCTGGGTAGCATGCATGCATCACAAACATCACGCTCTCGATCATCGAAAAAGGCTACATACAACTCCGTTTCCATACTTGGTAAGTTTTGTTCGGAAAGTTAGACACTCCCACGCTGTCTGTGTGTGATAAGCTTAGTTAACCTTGCATTGCCATGAGTTTAATAATCGTGGAGGCTTTTTCTTTGTGTATAAATACGTTTAAAAACTAGATTTTCAAGATTTATATATTTAGCACGTTGGTTTAATATATGTAATGATCCGGCAGTATGCTTTTTTACCTCGCACTTTAGGACCTAGAGGATATTAACTTAATTTGTTCTGAAGTACAACCTTTGCCTTTGACATTCCGCCGTGGAGGTTAATGACACTTTGTCGCTGGTTTTGCTTTTCTCATTTGTATAAATAATATTATTTTCTTCAATAAGCTATTTGAACTGTGCTTTTGGAAGCTATCAAATGGATTGGAACTGGAGTGAGATATTTTCAAGCCCATTATGGGCAGTTTCTACTGTAATACTGGGGCTGGTGGTTCGGGTGCAGCGGAGAGCGCGCTGGGATCCCCGGGACTGTCCTGTGCAGCTCAAAGGCAAGACAGTCATTGTCACAGGATCCAACACTGGTAAGCTGCTTATTCCAATCGATCGCTTAATTACCTTTGTTTTGGGAAATCTACCCAGCAAACATTTGGACGTTTGATGACCGTTGAAATGACGTCCCTCCGACACGTCCCGTCATGGTTGAAAAATAGTTCCGAAATGAAAGTTGAACGGACGTCTTTGACGTCAACTTGCCGTGTATTCGACGTCTTTTCGGCGTCTTTTCTGGACGTCTAATGCGTCGTCGTCTGGATGTTTTTAAGATGTGTTTCTGCGTTATGTCAGTGTACTTATTAGCCTGAATATAAACGTCCTTATTGTGAAATGCACATCAGAATATAAATGGTTCAAAAAACGTCCAAAATCAGTCCAGTCAGACCTCAACGTCTATACAACGTTTAATCGACGTTTACATTACAAAACATTTATTTGTATTAAATAAGAAATAAATATATATTTATATAACATATACATACATATAAATATATATAATATATTTAAATATTTGTGTGCATTATATATAAACAC